ATGACCAAGTGGGCTTTATCCCAGGAACGCAAGGATTCTTTAATATCCGCAAATCAATCAATGTAATACACCACATTAACAAATTGAAAGATAAAAACCATATGATTATCTCAATAGATGCAGAAAAAGCCTTTGATAAAATTCAACATCCATTTATGATTAAAACGCTCCAGAAAGCAGGAATAGAAGGAACATACCTCAACATAATAAAAGCTATATATGACAAACCCACAGCAAGCATCACCCTCAATGGTGAAAAACTGAAAGCATTTCCCCTGAAATCAGGAACAAGACAAGGGTGCCCACTCTCACCACTACTATTCAACATAGTTTTGGAAGTTTTGGCCACAGCAATCAGAGCAGAAAAAGAAGTAAAAGGAATCCAGATAGGAAAAGAAGAAGTGAAACTCTCGCTGTTTGCAGATGACATGATCCTCTACATAGAAAATCCTAAAGACTCTACCAGAAAATTACTAGAGATAATCAACGAATACAGTAAAGTTGCAGGATATAAAATTAACACACAGAAATCTCTTGCATTCCTATACACTAACAATGAGAAAACAGAAAGAGAAATTAAGGAAACAATACCATTCACCATTGCAACAAAAAGAATAAAATACTTAGGAGTATATCTACCTAAAGAAACAAAAGACCTATACACAGAAAACTATAAAACACTGATGAAAGAAATCAAAGAGGACACAAACAGATGGAGAAATATACCGTGTTCATGGATTGGAAGAATCAATATTGTCAAAATGGCTATACTACCCAAAGCAATCTATAGATTCAATGCAATCCCTATCAAACTACCAACGGTATTTTTCACAGAACTAGAACGAATAATTTCACAATTTTTATGGAAATACAAAAAACCTCGAATAGCCAAAGTAATCCTGAGAAAGAAGAATGGAACTGGAGGAATCAATCTGCCTGACTTCAGACTATACTACAAAGCCACAGTCATCAAGACAGTATGGTACTGGCACAAAGACAGAAATATAGATCAATGGAACAGAATAGAAAGCCCAGAGATAAATCCACGAACCTATGGTCACCTTATCTTTGACAAAGGAGGCAAGGATATACAATGGAAAAAAGACAACCTCTTTAACAAGTGGTGCTGGGAAAACTGGTCAACCACCTGTAAAAGAATGAAACTAGAACACTTTCTAACACCATACACAAAAATAAACTCAAGATGGATTAAAGATCTAAATGTAAGACCAGAAACTATAAAACTCCTAGAGGAGAACATAGGCAAAACACTCTCCGACATAAATCACAGCAGGATCCTCTATGACCCACATCCCAGAATTTTAGAAATAAAAGCAAAAATAAACAAATGGGACCTAATGAAACTTAAAAGCTTTTGCACAACAAAGGAAACTATAAGCAAGGTGAAAAGACAGCCCTCAGATTGGGAGAAAATAATAGCAAACGAAGCAACAGACAAAGGATTAATCTCAAAAATATACAAGCAACTCCTCCAGCTCAACTCCAGAAAAATAAATGACCCAATCAAAAAATGGGCCAAAGAACTGAACAGATATTTCTCCAAGGAAGACATACAGATGGCTAACAAACACATGAAAAGATGCTCAACATCAATCATTATCAGAGAAATGCAAATCAAAACCACAATGAGGTACCATTACACACCAGTCAGGATGGCTGCTATCCAAAAGTCTACAAGCAATAAATGCTGGAGAGAGTGTGGAGAAAAGGGAACCCTCTTACACTGTTGGTGGGAATGCAAATTAGTACAGCCACTATGGAAAACAGTGTGGAGATTTCTTAAAAAGCTGGAAATAGAACTGCCATATGACCCAGCAATCCCACTTCTGGGCATACACACCGAGGAAACCAGATCTGAAAGAGACACGTGTACCCCAATGTTCATCGCAGCACTGTTTATAATAGCCAGGACATGGAAGCAACCTAGATGCCCATCAGCAGACGAATGGATGAGGAAGCTGTGGTACATATACACCATGGAATATTACTCAGCCATTAAAAAGAATTCATTTGAATCAGTTCTAATGAGATGGATGAAACTGGAGCCCATTATACAGAGCGAAGTAAGCCAGAAAGATAAAGACCATTACAGTATACTAACACATATATATGGAATTTAGAAAGATGGTAACGATAACCCTATATGCAAAACAGAAAAAGAGACTCCTATGTATAGAACAGACTTGTGGACTCTGGGAGAAGGCGAGGGTGGGATGTTTCAAGAGAACAGCATTGAAACACGTATATTATCTAGGGTGAAACAGTTCACCAGCCCAGGTTGGGTGCATGAGACAAGTGCTCGGGCCTGGTGCACTGGGAAGACCCAGAGGGATCGGGTGGAGAGGGAGGTGGGAGGGGGGACCGGGATGGGGAATACATGTAAAAAAAAAAAAGATACACTATGGTTGTGATTAAAAAAATAAATAAATAAATAAATTTTAAAAAAAATAAATAAATAATCAGGATGTGCTTTTTTTTTCAGAACAATTTTTGGAAATGTGTATTTGTTTAACAGATAATGAAGTCCTCAATCGCAAAAAACACTGTGAACACAAGGAATTTTTTACAAGTGATTCTATCCATCCATTATCCATCATTATAAAGAAATATAAAGATAATAGTGATTAAATACAATGACTAAATACTACTGAGAGAAAACTATATAAATGGGTTTATTGTGATTTATATAATAAGTTTGACTCAGTTCATCTTGGATTAATAATTTCTTAAAAGGTAGAACATTAAAAAAAAAAGGTAGAACATAAACCATGCCACTTATTTAGGGTTTCTCAAAACACTTCCTAATCCATAAAAGTTACTCTCATGCTATTTGATTTTTCTAGTTTATTTTCCTTTTGTAGTAATTAAGGAATTCTTAGTTAAAAGCAAAATGTAAGTTAATAGATGGCTTACTTCTCATGCATAGAAAATTAATTTAAGAATATAGAAATTTTACTCTTTTATATTTTTTGTACACTTTACTATATTTCATGACCAGCTTTTATAAACCAGCTTTTATAAATGAAAGCTATTTAAAATGGCTTTTTTAAAAAGTGAAAATAACTAATTAACTAAACAGTAAATTCAAGAAAATGATTAAATAAATTCTGGATCTTCCATACCAAAAAAAAAAGAAAGAAAGAAAATAAAATCAGTGAGTAGTGAAAATGCTTTAAAGATAATGTTATAATCAAAAAAAGAAAGAAGAAAAAGAAATAAAATGTTTAACTAGAACACACTTCAGTCAGTTCAGTTCAGTTCAGTCGCTCAGTCATGTCCAACTCTGTGACCCCATGGCTGCAGCACACCAGGCCTCCCTGTCCATCACCAACTCCTGGAGCTTGCTCAAACTCATGCCCATTAAATCGGTGATGCCATCCAACTATCTCATCCTCTGTCGTCCCCTTCTCCCCTGCCTTCAATCACACAGTTACAATTTTTAAAATATGTACAATAAAAAGGATGTATAACAAAATATGCACAGTGTTTTCTTTCTTTGGATGAGAGAACTCTAAGTGATTTATATTTTAATGTACTTTTAATCGATCAAAATAATTTAAAAATTACATTATTTAAATGGTTAGCAATTGAAAAACAAGAAGGAAAGTAAGCCATGAGATTAAAGTGATTGCATATATTTAAAATGCAAACTTTTGAAGATAATATATTTGGGTAGAATAAATACTAACAAAACATTTAAAGTTGATCATCATATTTTTTAATCATCCTACACTCAAAACGCATCTTGAGACCATAAAATTAGAATGTATGAGGTAACAATCCCATTTCAAAGATAAAAAGTTGATTCATACCCAGAAAGATTAAATGACTAATTTTTCCAATAATATATAACCAGTCCACTGTAGAATCAAGACTCACAATCTAGTCAAGCTCTATTTTATCATTCTGTCTCTCTAAAAAATACTAAAAGAGACAATAAATTAAAATGCTGAGAGTTAACAAATAGTGTCTTACCAGGTTTTTAAATATGTGATTGTCTGGCTCATCTTCTCTCATTTATGAGTTCGTCTCTAGAAATAGTCAGTCAGTTAGTTCAGTCTTTCAGTCATGTCCGACTCTTTGAGATCCCATGGACTGCAGCAAGCCAGGCCTCCCTGTCCATCACCAACTCCTGGAGTTTGCTCAAACTCATGTCCATCAAGTCAGGGATGGCATTCAATCATCTCATCCTCTGTCATACCCTTCTCTTCCCACTTTCAATCTTTCCCAGCATCAGGGTCTTTTCCAATGAGTCAGTTCTTCTCATCAGGTGGCCAAAGTATTGGAGCTTCAGCTTTAGCATCAGTCCTTCCAGTGAATATTCAGGACTGATTTCCATTAGGACTGACTTAACTTGATATCCTTGCAGTCCAAGGGACTCTCAAGAGTCTCTCCAATACTACAGTTCAAAAGCATCAATTCTTCAACACTCAGCTTATTTTAAAATGTTCTCACATTTTCAGATTTGCATATGGACAAGACAATATATTTTAAATTTTTTTATTTTACTAGCTTGATCTCATTTCAGATATTTTTGCTTTTGATAAAAAAAACCCACAATTTTCTTCAGTCATGTTAGTTTAGGGAAAAAAAGTAACACAGGAAGCTAAGAACTGAAACATCTATTCCTTTCTCACTAGTAAGTGTATGGCAGTAAGTACCGCAGAGCAAGTCTTGTCATTGGTGAATTTCTAGCTTATTGAAATAAAAAGACGCATATGACATGGTGCTTGATTTCAAAGACCTTATTGTAGATTAGAGACAGACAGATACACAAGCAACTAAGAGCAACAAGGGGTTGTAGTTACTTATAAAGATGTCTTTACAAGTTTAAAAGAGGGATTAATTATTTCTACCTTGGGGGATAAGAGGTAACATTGTCAGGAAGTGCTTTGTAAAGTCGAACTTGGGCTGAAAATTCCTCAAAAAAATCTAAGTTATAAAAAAAAAAAACAGCTTCCTCTTTCCTGGCTGGAACCATGGAGGGTGCAGAAGAGAAGAAAAAGAAGGTTCCTCCTGTGCCAGAAACCCTTAAAAAAAAGCGAAAGAATTTCGCAGAGCTTAAGATCAAGTGCCTGAGAAAGAAGGTTGCCCAAAAGATGCTTCGAAAGGCAAGGAGGAAGCTTATTTATGAAAAAGCTAAGCATTACCACAAGGAATACAGGCAGATGTACAGAACTGAAATTCGAATGGCTAGGATGGCACGAAAAGCTGGCAACTTCTATGTACCCGCGGAACCCAAGTTGGCATTTGTCATCAGGATCAGAGGCATCAACGGTGTGAGCCCAAAGGTTTGAAAGGTGCTGTAGCTCCTTCGCCTCCGGCAGATCTTCAATGGCACCTTTGTGAAGCTCAAGAAGGCATCAGTTAACATGCTGAGAATTGTGGAGCCATACATTGCACGGGGGTACCCAAATCTGAAGTCTGTAAATGAATTGATCTACGAGCGTGGTTATGGCAAAATCAACAAAAAGCGAATTGCCCTGATAGACAACGCATTGATTGCTCGATCTCTTGGGAAATACGGACTCATCTGCATGGAGGATCTGATTCATGAGATCTATACTGTTGGAAAACGTTTCAAAGAAGCAAACAACTTCCTGTGGCCCTTTAAATTGTCTTCTCCGCGAGGTGGAATGAAGAAAAAGACCACCCATTTTGTAGAAGGTGGAGATGCTGGCGACAGGGAAGACCAGATCAACAGGCTTATTAGAAGGATGAACTAAGGTATCTACCAGGATTATTTTTGTAATCTGGTCAGTTAATAAACAATTGAAACAAACAAACAAAAAAACAAACCCTAGCAACTAGGTTTGAAGACTTTAAACCAATTCAAATGACCATTCTATGTATTAAGAAGATAGCAAGAGATATTTCATAGAAGATGTGCACGCTTGAACAGTCGCTTTAGTCATGTCTGACTCTTTGTGACCCCGTGGATGGTGGCCCTCCAGGCTCCTCTGTCCATGGGATTCTCCAGATAAGAACACTGAAGTGGGTTGCCAGGCCCTACTCCAGGGAATCTTCCCGACCCAGGGATCGAACCCACGTCTCCTGCATTGCAGGCAGATTCCTTGCCACCAGGTGACCCCTTCATAGAAGACGGTTCCCCTCAAATCAACATTCAATCATCTTATCTAATGTTCACAATTTTATAAACATATATACTTATGAATCGAAAAGTATGTGATCAGCTCTATGCTAAGTGTTATGGAAGGTACAAAAATGAGACATATTACCATCCTGTGAAGAGACAGGCAATATTGTTATAGAGTCAATATATGAACATGTGGGAATTAGTGTACTAGAGAAATTCTAGCACATTTAATACACACAAAAACCAGCAATATTATAACAAATATACCTTACAATTCTGATGGCCTAACCTAATAAAAGTCTATTTTGTGTTCATGTAAGAGTGCATTGTGCACATTCGTGGTTTGAAATTAGCTTCCCTCCATTTGATGATTGTATAATATCGCAGGCTTGGCATATGTTTTGTGTGGCTAAGCAGCCTGCAGGAGCCTTAAACTGACACTAGTCCCTCCCTCCAGCCCATGCCTGAGACAACAGCCCATAGAGTCACAAGTAAATGTCAGTTCCTGATATGCTCCCCAACCACTTTGTGACAAGCAGTCTCACCCACTCTTTGCCAGTCTGAACTGTCGAACCTGGTCCCAGCCCTGGAATCCCAAAGTACTCTACCTGTAGACCCTAGTAAAATCATATGCCCCCAATCCTACTATCTCTGCCTGCGCACTTTCTTGGCCTCTGCATGAGGTGCTTGAGGCAGACCATGCATTGACAGTGCTTCCAGGAGCTCTGAGCAGCAAGCTCCTCTCCTCCAGTTCCCCTGTTGTCTTTCTGAATCAGGGCTCATCATCCAACACCCCGACTCCACATAACAAACGTGAATCCTTAGGGCCACAACAACAATGCAGTAGGGCAGGCTCTTTCCAGCTTGTCTCTCTGTCACTTGCTGGAGTCTTAGCATCTTCAGATGACAGCTGGTGGATGGGGGAAAGAGAATAAAGAAGGCACACCACTTCCAACCTCCTCAGTCCAGAAGTGAAGTAACTCACCTTCCCTGCTATCCGCTGGCGGGAACAAGGACACAGTCCCACCAACACCTGGATGGCTAGCTAGGTAGCTGCTTCCCAGCAACGACTCAGCAACAGGAGAGGTGGAGAACAAATTCCAGGTGGATACCAGCCAATTTCTGCCATAGATTTTGCTTGCACATGGAGGCTAGATTTTTTTTTTTCTGTCACATTAAAAAAAATAGTTGTTTGTAGATCTCATCTGGAGCTTTCCCAGTGGCTCTGCGGTAAATCATTTGCTGGCAATGCAGGAGACACAGGTTCAATCCCTGGACCAGGCAGATCCCCTGGAGGAGGGCACAACCCACTCCAGTATTCTTGCCTGGAAAATCTCATGGACAGAGGAACCTGGTGGGCTACAGACCATAGGGTTACAAAGGGTCAGACATGACTGAAGTGACTGAGCACACATGCGTGATCTCATCTGTGATTGTTAAATAAACTTGGTCTTCACTAACACTTCTCTTCAAATCTTTAGATTACCTATCAAAATGCATATGCGTCTGAAACTAGAATCCCTCCAAGCCATCAATTCAAATAAATTATGCTTACATTTTGCCTCTCAGAACTACTTCATAGTTGACAGCACCTTATGTGAAATCATTTCAGCACATGAGCAAATGACACTCTTTGGGCAGCTTATTCATTCATTCAATAAACATTCATGGAACACCTATCATGTTCTAGGACACACAATACTTAGGAGACAAAGACAAGCTAAGATATCCAGGATGGCTAGAGAGAGAAGCTGAATTCTGTAATTAAACTGAGATTCTGTGAAGTAACAAAAACAATATGTTAAAACAATCTGTTACAAATTTTTAGATTTGAGGCCCCAAACCACGAAAGTACCTAGACTACCCAACATGGCAGAGCAAAACCTGTAGGACAGAGATGGGTAAGAGACGAGGTTAGCCCTGAGAAAGAAAAAGGTAGTCTTCACAGTTATAGCAGATGTAGATTTAACAAGAGGCCATGATCAAAATGCTGGCTCAAATGTAGCAAGATGGAAAACTGGCTGAGTGACAGTGCTCTTCGTGGAACTAGAGAAGTTCTATAAATGATAGCATTTTAAAAGAGAATATAAGTTTTAACAGAGTCTGTGAGTTTGAAATATCTATGCATATCCATGTAAAAATTTATCTGGATGTAAGGGAAATTATACATGCAAAGAAATTAAATGCAGTCTAAATTCCAGTCTCACTCTGTTTTTCAAGTTGCTTTCTTAAATTAGTGTGCATGTGTGCTTAGTCGCTTCAGTCGTGTCCAACTCACTACGACCCTATGGACCATGGCATGCCAGGCTCCTCTGTCCATGGGATTCTCCAAGCAAGAATACTGGAGGGGGTTGCCATTTCCCTCACCTAAATTAGTGCGCAGGGGAAGAAAAGAAAAGAAAGAAAAGGGAAAAAGAAAAGCCAAACAAAGGTAGATAACATCACTGTGTCTTTATAGTATTAGATTTGGCAAGATTTAGTCCTCTTTTTCAGAGGCTCTTGCATTTTGCAAATCGTCTATTTTTTATAACAAAATCATCTGGCCTGGTCTTCATTCAAACACTGACACTTCATCTGATATCTTGAAATATAAAAAACCATACAGTGTTTTAGGGAGGGACCACCTGATTCTTTAAAACCAAATAAAATGAAACAAAGGTGCCAATTTAAGGCAAACCTGGATTCATTTTAGGTTTGGTGTGAAAACTGTTAAGTGCGGTGGTTCCGCTCTATTTCATCTCCTGGAATTTACACTCTGATCACTGTGCATTGTTTTCAGTTTTTCAAACCTATATATACCAGGATCAAAATTCAAGGTGGGAAAGAAGTAGCCTATATTAATGACATTTTTTAATGAATGTAATTTAAACTTTTCTTAACTTAGGCACTCACATTTGCACTGGTTTATTTTGTAATCATTCCTAACAGCAATAAACACTCATGTAGTACTTAGCAGTGTGGGATATTAACTCATGGAACCTTGACAACAACCCATGAGGAAAGGACTCAAATAATCACCATGTTAAAGATGAAGAAACTGAGTCACAGAAAGGTTAAGCAACTTACAGAGGGTTCCACAACTGGCAATGGCAGAGGTAGACTGTAAACCCAGGTCATCTGGGACTTCCCTGAAGGTCCAGTGGCTAAGACTGTGATCCCAGCGCAGGGGCCCCAGACCCTGCATACCACAACTAAGACCCAGCACCGCCAAATAAATAAATAACAAAAGCAAAAACCTAGGCCGTCTAGCTTTGGAACCTGGTCTCACATCTCTTCTGCTGTATTGTTTAGTCCACTACAAATAGTATTTCTCTTTTATTGTCTTTCGTTGTTTGAAGATTTGTTCTGAGACCCCTAGGGCATAAGATACAAGACTGCTTCTTCACACAGTATGTTCATCCAAACTGTCCTTGCCAACTAAGCCAGATGCCAGCCAGTAGTCACCATGATCCCTTTGCTTTTCCAATCATCTAATTACAAAAGAGTGACTGCTGAGAGTTAATAGACCTCCTCCACTGGGAAGGAAGTAGCGATGGGAGAGCAGGGAAGACTCCACCTCACAGCTGCCTTCCTTCCTTCCACCCAGGAGTGCTGAGGAGTTAACAACTGCCTGTGGAAGCAGGTAAAAAGGAGGGTGAGGAAGACCGCACAGTTACCGTGCTGGCAGATTTGTGCTGAGAGTAAATAACTATCACCTTTCACGGAGGGTAGATAACCTACCTGAGATAAAGGAGTTAGTTCAGTTTAACTTCAAAGCCCAGACATGTTCCTTCCACAGTGTGAAGTGCAAGCTCAGAGGGAGAAGACAAGTTCCCTTTGATACCTGTTCATTTCATTGCGTCTTAACAGTTCTTCTATAAAAGCAGCATATTGAATAATTTTCAACATTGGTTTCTGGTTGGTATTACTACTAAGTGCTTACTATTCTTTATTGCAATTCATGACATGCAGAATATTGAAGAGTGGCTTTATGAAGTAATCTCTAGGGAGCATAAAGCGAGCAAAAACTAGGATAGTGATATAGCAATAATAATCATATGTCTTAGTAACTGCCCAAATTGACCTAGAATTTTTTTTAATTCTCTCTCAATGTGAATCTATGTACTTGATTGACAGATATTTTCATTTAAAATAATCACTTAAAATTTGAAATACCTATGCTAATTTTCTCCTGATTAAAATATAATGGGAAAGAGTTGGAAACCTTTCCTTAAAAAAACAAGCAAATAAAAAGAATCAGTTTTTAAATTTAGCAAAAGGCCTACATAGGGTTGTTGTGAAAATAAGTGAAATAATATGTTTAAAGGGCATTTAGTATGATGCCTTATGGGTCATAAATGACCAATAAGTGGTAGAGATTTTTATTAGGAAAGCACTGTAAAATTAAAATATTTAAAACTTCAAAGCTCTACTGACCACCAAATTTATGGCTTCATAAAATGTTTTCATAGTATTTTAACCAATTTAAATTATAACTTTTAACTACTTTTTATGTAAATAACACACTAACCATACTTTTCTATTTATTTTTATACACAAATCCTTGAAGTATTTTTCAAATATTTCTATTGCCCATATCTATAAAATAAGTGCTTTTAATTCATCATTGGTACACAAAAGTGATAGCAA